AAAAAAAAAAAACATATAAAAATAAGCTGTATCATTGCACATTCATTATACGCACAACCCACTCATGAAACGAGCTGCCCAACAGGAGGATTGTTAGTTTACATGGTTTTTTCACACAAATTAAACCCCTCTCACACAGATTTATTCACTGATCTGCTCCTCATGCACACAATAGAGATTCCGATCAGAATAAGAGAGGAAATTATCGTCGTTGCATCTGTCCTAGGAGGAAAATTTGAGGATGTGATGACATTGCACAAGGTATACAGTATCACATGAAAGAATGCTGCCATTATCAATAATTCAGACATGTCCTAAAGGGAACCGGGGCTTATTTGTTTCATAAACAATAGCATGAACACAAAGAAAGCGTGGCAATGTGGGGGCTTTCAAAACATACGTATGAGATGCTAATGATGTCGACAAATCAACTCAATCAAAATAAATGGAGCCTAAAATGTAGGCCAGCCTCCTGTGGGAATAATGAAGTGTTTTATCTGTGCTTGACACCAGATATTGTAATTTACCAACCTATCTGTCAATTATGCTGACTTGATAAAAAAAAAGGGGGAGGCATAGTAGGGGTAATACAATAAAAGCCTCTTCGCCTGTCATGAATGAAGCCGTTGAGCTTGAATATAAAAGCTTTGGTTTAGTTTTGAGAAGTGAAATCATGAAAGTGAAACAAACCTGGCAAATCTGGTTAAAGTGCTGAAAGCCAAGACTCCGTCTAAACCATAGAGACCGAGTGAGACGCTGCTGATGATTACATCCGCCCTCATCACGTAGCTCTGCCACACTAGGAAGTAGACCGTCAGCAGGATGGTTGCCCCCGTCAAAAGGAGGTTGCCAAAAACATAGGTCTCGCTCTCTGTCAGGTTGCCCTTCACACCTGTAGACTCAGAGAAAAGCAATGTGTACAGACTGTCTTTGAGTTTACTGATGAATGTGTCCATTTGAAGCAGTCGCATTTGTCCTTGACTACGCTCAGGCCGCACAGTGCCACAGTGGTTAGAATAGAATAGAATAGAATTCAACATAGCACTGTTGCTTCACAGAAAAAAGGTTATGGGTTCAAAAACACCAGTCAGCTCTCTGTGCTAGCCTCTTCCTCTTTGCATAACTGGTTAAGAAATTGGCTTCATGGATTGAGTATGTTTGAATTATAAGTGCATGTAT